TTTCCCTTTTCCCTTTTTGCCCCTTGCAGAGTAGATTGATTGGAGAGAATGAGATTGCAGGATAGTAAGCTGTTTGTTCTTCTACGCATCGAAAGCAATACGATCGTACCAGCAGCCCAGGCTGGCAGCCGTGGATGCGCTATGCAAACAGCTTACAATACTCTGTTGAAATCTTTTCCTCTCCAATATCTCTGCTCTGTGATGGGGGATGGGAAAAAAAAAAGCAAGTGATTTCTGTAGGCAGTCTCTCCTTTTCCTGACCCTTTCCCACTGCCAATGCAATCATGTTGCTCTCAATGCGTAGAAGAGCAAATGGCTTACTCTCTTGAAATCTCTTCCCAATCTCTCTGCTCTGCAAATGGGGGTGGGAAGCACACAATTTCTGTAGGCAATCTTTGACCCTCCCCCCCTTAGTACTTACAGAGCACTGTAAGCTGTTTGCATAGTGCACCCATGGCTCCCAGCCCTGCCCTGTGGCACAATTGCATTCCTTTCAATGAGTACAAGACAGTAAGCAGGCACTCGAGCATTCCAAAGGGCGGGGTAGTGGTTAGGAGGCAAACAAAAGCCAAAGGTGTGAAACTGAGTTGTCTCTTTCCAGCGAGAAAACACGGTCATGGTCACATGATTTCCCACTTAGCGACCGCTTAGCGGCAGAGTTGCCTGTCCTAATTAGGGTCATTAAGCAAGGACTACCTATATTAAGAAGTTTTAATAATTACTTCATTTTAGGTTGAACAGTTGACTCCCTCACCTGATGTTCATACATGGTGTTGTCCTAAGGAAAATAAAGATGAAGCAGCCTACGGCAAGTATTATGTTAATGTACAAAAGATGTGTACAGTTATAGATTTAAATGCAAATACATTACAGTGGGTACCTATTTCAATGGCCTTAATTATGTTTTTGCTTTATCTAGTTCATTGAAATTTCTGGTTCAGAAGCAAAGTGTCTGATTTCTTACATTTTAACTGACATAACATGTTTTAAAGAATACTGCAATTCTAAGTGCCCTTAAAACTGCTAGTGCAAACCCTTTTAATTGGAAGCAATTTCTTAGAAGAAATTTTAAAAAGTCATTGCATTCAATTTCTTATTGTGGGAATTTTGTGACTTGTGTCACTCAGTTGACATAAAAAACACAGCTCTGTTTTCTTATAAAATAAACTTGCACTACTTTTAGAAAGTTCAGTCAGTGTATTATTTCTTATTTCCCATTTATATGCCCTGGATTATATATTCTGTTACTTCCAGTAATTCCTGTTACCCATTCAAGGAAAGCTGTGTTTTTATATAGTGTTTTCTCACAGCATCTGCTTCTTCTCTGACTTACTTTGCAATTAAACCATTATGTGTCCTAGAAGTATTTTTGTTTGTTTCTGTTGCTATTTGTGTATAATTTAGATATGAATGGAGTGCATAGTTTCTAGCAATCAATTAATATATGATTTTGGTTATAAAACCTTCAGTAGTCTGAGAGCTAAACATCACATAAGAGGAAGCTTTCATTGTAAATAGTCCTTGGGGTGAAAAATAATTTCCCTAAATGAACTATTCTACTCGACAGTAAAGCCTTTCCACATTATCCACATCTTGTTTATAAAGTGTCTTAGACTCTGTTGTATACCAAATCATTTCCATTTTATCTGTACAAGTATCCCAGAAATTTTCCCCCCATTGTTTTTGGAGATGTGGAAGATGTTCAGCATTTCTTTCCACATTACAGTGATATGGGAGGGAGGAGTCCATGTCATAGTTCTTTTTCATGTCACAAAAGAGCTGGAATGTAGACCACAGACTTTCAGTGATGCCTAGTAGAACAGAAAAAAAGTACTGCAGTGTAGAAAAGAAGCAGTAAATTTCTTTAAATAATTTGATTCTTGTTCATACATGTTATGTATAGATCTGGTCTCATTTTATAATGTAAGATAAAAGTAGGATTTTTGTCAACTGTGCTGTGCTCAATAATGTTAAAAGATCACCACAAACTAATGCATTTAAATCAAATCATTGTTTTTATATTTTTATATACTTGTTATGGGTATCTGCTTCTGTGGGGGCTGATATTTTGCTCAAGAGAAGGCAGGAGGGAGGGAGATAGATATAATCAAGCCATTTCTAATAATTAGAATTAGATTTGAATTGCTTGTGCTGACCCTTATCAACTGGATGGACATGTCTTGTGGAACTGACTTCCTTACGTTGCTACCTCCTGCTTGCTCCTGTTCTGAAGAACTGGTGCTTGGAAATGATGTAATTCAAGAACAACAGTTCCTGAATGGGCTGCATGCCATCTGGATGGGCTGCAACTAGACATTGCTTTGGAAATCAGGAGGTGAAAGAAGGGCAGGATTCTACTTTGACTCCTCAGGAGACCTTGCATGTAGAAAAGTGATAAGAAGAAAGTTACCAAGGCAGAAGATCTCTAGCTAAAAGAACTGGAACAGAAGGAAAGAATATGACTATCAGTCTTTCCTCCATTTGGAGAATAGGGCACTTGACCAGTATACAGGAAAGCACTGTTCAGAAAAAAGAAACATTTTTCCTATTTATTCCTGTAGACAGGTTTTCTGAAGAATGCATCACTCAGAACTAAAATATTGAAAGGGAAGACTGAATACTAAAATGCACATTCATGTATCCTATAAAAGGATACATGCTAGAATCTTAGTTTTAGAATTGCCTTCTGTTGATCAAAGCATGTCTCTATAAGTCAGTGGTTTTTAGCTGGTGGTACGTGTGCAATTAATGGGATTCTAGGTGGAATAGAATTGTACCTAACAGCTATCCCAAAGATCCTGGTTTTCAGTAGTAGAATAATTTACCTTTGCAATTTAATTATACAAACCCAGAATGCTGCCTTATTTGAGTCCAGGTAATTGCAGAGCTCTATTCACCTTGCTTAGATCTCCTGCCTGACAGCATCCAAGAAATCCATTCAGGAGCTATGAGAGCTGAACAGGAACTAAGAATGGGTGGGGGTTGTATTCAGTTGCTGCAGGAGGAGGAGCCAAATGGATTCAGAAAAGAAGCGCATACATCTTGCTTGCCAGCTGCCTGCCATGGGTCCCATACACATCAAAACACAATTTTGGGCAACCTCCTCTTGGAAGTTGGAGTGGGAAGGCATATATAGGTGATTATAGCTGGGGATAGATGGGAGGAAGTCCCTGAGGTCTCTTGAGTGCCTGAGTTCTTAAGTGCCTTGTGATGATAGCCTGTTTTAAGAGTAGAAGTCAAAAAAGAAAAAATATGGTTTTTTTTGGGAAAAAGGGTCCATTTAAGCAGATATATTTTGTCTAAAAGCTGTTTATGTTGCAGAAGCATTCACTTAGAGTCAGAGGTCCTTGTATTGGTTTGAATAATTAAGTCACAAATGTAAATTATCTCACTATCTAAATACTCATTTATATGCTTTGTTATAATTAACACTGTGATATTCAAACAAGCCAGTGTACTCAGTCATTATTTAAAGATAATGCTGTTTAAATGATTGTACCTTTTCAAAATGCTGTATTTTTGGAAAAATGACTTTATAACTGAATAGTCTACTACTAATGTCTTATATTTATAAATAAAAATGCTTTAACTTTATTAATGTTTACTTTTTTTCTTTTTAAGATCCTAGTCTTCTGGGCAGTTACAGACCCAAAAATACTAAAGTAAGTTAAGAAACATAGAATACTTTATTAACTAAAATTGATTTAATCTCTTGTGACCATTTGATTTCCTACACAATATTGTCACTGTGTTATTAATGACTAGTTTACAGGTTACAGAGTTAAGATATGACCAACTCACAAACCTAGAGGACATCTGTATTTCCTGACTGAGCATCTGAAATGCGTATCTGTCAAACGTATCAAAAGAATTGAACTTGGAAATCATAGCCAACCCCCCTACCCAGTTCAGGAATCCATTACTTTATCATTCCCAATAAGTGGACTCAAGCCTTTGTTTAAACATATCCTGTGGAACAGAGGCTACTACCTTCTGAGATAGTCATTATTGAACAGCTTTGTATCTTTAGAAACATTTTCCTTATGTCCAGCTAAAATCTACTTCATTGTAATAAAAACCCATCGTTTCTTGCCTGTCTTCTAGAGCAACTCTGAATAATTGTGCCTTTTCTCCTTCTTGACCACCTTTTAAATACTTCAGGACATCTATCATGTTTCTGCACAGTCTTTTGCAGGCTAAACGTGCCCAGAGCTTCCAACCATTATTCATAAGATTTTCTTCTGGGCCTTTTATGATCTTGGCCCTCTCCATGGCCATGCTCAAGTTTAAAGGGCCCTCATAGACACAATATTTTAGGTGTGATCAGACCAATGCAGATCTTTTTTGTATGCACTGCTGCCCAGAACATCCAAAAAAAAAATGCCCTTTTTGTTGCTTTTAGCTTTCCTTGCAAAGCCATAGTTCCTTTGAGGCTTTAGTGTTTCCAACTTCATTTCTGTTGATACCTCCTTGGTACATTCCATTTCTTATACGTGTTTTAGACCAGTTAAAAGCCTGTATAATCTGCAAGAGTTTATAAGCTGTCCATTTTTTCTGTCATTGGAATAGTATGTGATTCTATTTCTAGTATTTTACTTTTGAGAAGGTCTCAGCCCCCCCTGCATTCCTTTTGCTCAGAGGATTCCTTTCCATGGAATCCCATCTAGAGCTACTCTAAGCTTGTTGAAATTGGCCTTCCTGAAATTTGTCCATTTTACTAAATACTTCAATAATCAAGGACCTTCCCAGATGTATCCATAATAAATATTACATACATTTATAATGGACAGTTACTTATGTCTTTATAAAGAAGCAGCTGTTGTTTTGATTGCTGGTTGTTAGCAACTAAATCATCTATACTGAACATGAATCTTACTGATGTTCCTTAATGAGCCTTAGGTAAATTCCTGCAGTACAATAACTGCTACTTACATGATTCCATGGAAGTATTCACCCACCACAGTTCTATCTTGCATCTTGTGATGGCTCACATATCATTTTGACTCATAGTTTGTTTTAACTGTAGTTTGTTGAACAAGTTACAGTAGTCTGATTTATACATAATTATAGCTATATATTTCAGGAGTTGTGGAGAAGGCTCAGGATCAGCTATCAAATACTATTTTTTTGAGCAGGAGGCACATATCTTCCCTTTGGGACAAAAATTTCTTCTTCCCTAAGTAATCAGAATATTTGCTTAACAGTCACAGAATACTTAAGTACAGGTTCCAAGCAAGTCTTTCTGCCCTCCCAGTCAACAGGAGATAAGAATCAATGACACTGTAACGTTAGGAGAAAGGAGGATTTAGGTACAATTGGTAGAGGAGTGTATGGGAGGAAGAGAGCAAGGAAAAGCATTAATAGCTGATGATATTTTTTTTGCCTTCAGCACTAAGTTTCCACAACTCCCAGACAACATTATTATTGTAAACTCCACTTGTAAACTATGGCTTACAAACCACAATGGCTGGGTTCAAATATCACACTAATCCAAAACCAAACAAAATACATTATAGCTTAATACATTCAGCAACCCAGCCAGTACCTTGAAAATCATATTTTTTATCTTTGTGATGGTATTGTAAAATAGGACTTTAGAAGTAGCAGCTGACTGCAGATCTGTATCTGTATTTAATTCAGAGTGTTCACGATTCAAGTGTTTAAGATTAAACTTTGAGATACAGATATTCCAAGAAATATCTCTTCCCATGTCTTATTTTCTTGCTGCCTAAAAAGGAAAATAAGGAAATATATCCAACTACTTGGCAAGTAGATAGCCATAAAAATAGAAGAAATATTTAAATAAATATTACAACTTAAGGTAACAGACAGAAAGATCTCTGTTTTAGGATAGCCATCTAACTCTTTTTTCTGCTGCTATTTGAATGCTTACTGAAAGGTCACATTCTGGGAGGCTGTTTTCATGATAGAGGTTTTCATCTGCTACTTCTGTATTTTCTTTTTAAAACTATTTTTATAAAATGATGAAATTACACTCATACTATTTTCAGTTCCTAATATTAGTATCTATAATTAGAGTTTTTAAGTGCTGTTTTCAAAAATGTTTATAAGGTTATGTAAATACAAATATTAGATGATATAGATGTCATGAATTAAAACACTAAATATTAATAGAAACGAACAAATGATTAAAAAACTTTCACAGTGAAGAAAAAAATCTTCCCTATATAAAAAAGCAAGAGAAGGAAGATAGATACCTTCAAGTTATGGATTTTGACACACTTATTTGGAATATCATAGACTACAAGATGAACTAGTCAGTTTGTCCTGGACCAAATAAAGACTGCCTTCTGGATGATCAGGAAACAGAAAGTCACATATTTTGTGCATGTGATGCCAGCAGAAAATGGAATAGAAAATATTATTATCTGTGCTAAACTTGGTAAATAGAAGGGGAAGGCAGTGGATAAAGTGAATGGGAACTGATGGAACCACATATTACTGGAGCATCCTTGGAACAGCTATGAGTTATTACTAAAGGTAGTTCCAGATTGCAAGCTTTTGTCCATACAGTTACTGGGAGTTGAACCCAACTTGTCCAACTGATTCAGTTTTCATTAAAATAATACATGAAAGCTAGTTCTTAATGTTTCTATCATGTTTCTCAAACATGAATATTTTGTAACTTTAGTAACTTAGTCAATAAGCCTTTAAATTGAAGATGGAGCAACATTTCTCCACTTCTGTGCCATGCCATCTCTTTTTTTAATTGGTGCCGTTAAAAACTTTTTGTATAAAATAATTAAATTTAACACCTTTCACATAAACACCAGAAATTTAAAATCTGTGGTAAAAATGTCAAATTATGTGTTTTTGACAGAAAAGAGAGTATTGGCAATGGAAAGGACTGAATCTCCTATGTTTTCTTATTTCTGCTTCCATGGTCATCCTAATAAATTATGAAATGTATTTATTTCATTGTCAGCAATAAACTATCACATGTAACCAAGACATTAAATCTATTATATCTTCTGCAAAGGTCATTTGGTTATTTTTGTGTTTCTAACAGGTTATTGGGTCACATCGTGAGAAAGACTTTGATTCTTTTCATGACAGCTACAATGAGCACTTGATCACAAAAATGAGTGGTAGGCAGGTTCATTCAAATCTGTTGATGCATTCAGCACCTCCATCATTGCAGAAATATTCTTCAACTCCTGTGTTAAATCGCTCATCTCTTAGAGAAAGGTAATGCCACATATTTTTGGAAATTTAAAATAGTGTGCTATCTTGTTTATACTGAAATTTCAGTGTATGAACTGGTATGTACTTTGATCAGTGTCTTCCTTTTGAAGAATATTGGCCATGTTTAAAATCTGGTATGGCACTGTACAACAAATGGGGGTAGAGACTTTGCAATATTTTGATTTGAATTCAGGAACATCAAGTGCCTGAATTTTTGAATGGGAAGTATATAAATCTTATATCTGAGGTCAAATTGTTGATTATGCATCATATAAAAATAAGATTAAAAATAAAAGGGAAAATAATTTGAAACATGAATTGAAACATTTATGGGCACAGATGGTTAGAAACCCATCTACTACTTTGTATAGAGAAATACAGAAGCAGAAATATGAATTAAATACTATAATATCACACCAGACATACTTTATGCTAACATGTTTACGACAGGGATATTGGGAGAATGGTGAAAGACCGGGTAAAATTTTGGCTAATTGTTTAAAACAAAAGAAAGATAGGGCTATGATTCCAATTATTAGAAGTGAAAGAGATGAAATATAGAAAGCTTCAATGGATATAAATTGTCAATTTTTAAAATTTTATTCAGAATTATATTATTACTACTAAATTATTTGTACTGTGTCTCTAGGAGTTAGGAATGGAGTTTGCCTCTTAGTACCAACATATTTTTGGTAAAACACAGGATGCATTCATCATATTTTAGAATGAGAAATGAATCAGAAATTAATTCTGCAATCCATTCTTAGTGTGCCAGATACTCTGTATTGTAACAAATGATAATGACAGTACTGCTTTCTAACTAGTCTGATGTCCTGGACCATTCACACAATGCATACTTCCTGCAAGGGAGCATAAGAACTATATTTTTTTCTCTGCTCCCAAATGAATTGAGAGACAGGGAAGACTACAAATCACATTCTTTCTGACATGAAATTAAGTTCATGAGTTATTTCCAGTTTAGGAGAGATTGGAAATGTCTTTGCTGATGGATGCAGACCTATTTTAAAATTAGACTAATGCTTTATGGATGGGGGTAGGGGGAAAATTCGTATGTTGACTCCTATTTCACCCTTTTCCCATTTTGCATTTCCCTGATCACTAAATTATTAGTATTATTACAGAATTTTCTCATGGTTAATTATAATGCGAGATACCTCTGTTACCTGTTCCATCTTGGCTTTGAATACTATTTTGGTTGGCTGTCATTTGGCACATTGATTTTGATCAGAGAAAAGGTGGCAAGACACTTGAAGTCTGCAGAGACAGTAAAGGGGAGAAGAATCTATGATTGTGAAACTAGATACTGGGGAACTCTGTCTTATAAAGTCATAATTCTAGCCCTTTTGATTGTAATTTAAGAAATTATTTTGTTTTAATGTAATTAAAATTAATGTATTTAATTTAATAACTGTCCTTGAGTTTGGGCACTTAGTGTGTGTTCTTGTTTTTCTTGATTATGGGACATGGTGTGGACAGATTGCTGTCACATGGCTACAAAGGCAGATTGAAATTCATTTGGCTTTCAGATCCATTCTTCAATATCCTTTTCTACCCTTCCTGCTCTGCTGGTGACTTATCTTTGTTTTTAGGGCCTTGAGATACATGTGGTTATCAAAGCTTTTCAGTCCTTTTTACTTGGTTGTTTCCTCACAGTTCTGTTCCCTTTATTTTTTATTTTTTTCTGGCCAGTGACATGATTATGGTTTCTTCTGTAAAGGATTGGAAGGCAGTTTTTAACCTGTTATTCAGGGTTTGAGACAGAATTATTTTTTTTAATGCAAAATAAGTTTGTTAAGCCTTACGGAGTAACGCGCCAATTTACCCCTTTTCCTATTCATAAGTGCTAAAGAATTGTTTGCCAGAAGTCTGATTTTTCACTGAAATTTAGTAACATGATCTTGAGTAACTGTGGGGTCAGGGTTCAAAAACAAGGCTGATGGAATTCTAGTGATCCCCAGGACACCGGCTACTACTCCTGTTTTAGGAGATTGGATTACTAAACATTTTTGTCATTGGAAAAATATAAATAATACAGTATAATAAATACTATATTATTTGAGCTAATTTTCCTGATTTGAAGAGACACACTGCATAATCATAGGGCTCATCCACATAACCTCCTTACTCTGGCTCCAAGGATTTATTTATTTATTTATTAAATTTCTCTCTCCCCCCAGTGGGGGACTCTGGGAGGCTCACACAAAGCATTAATAAATATATATAAATACATAAAACATAAAAAAATTATAAAAAACATTACCAAAAAAGAAGGAGAAAGTCCAAGAAGATGATGG